CTTAATTTGTCTTTGGCAGCAGAAGAGAGGCCTTGCTTTATACTAGTAGATGAGTGAGTGCCCTCCTACAGCAAATCCATCAATAATTACAGCTTACACCATGTAACAAATAGAAAGTATTTCTTGCATTTGGATTCAACTCTGCTTTACAAGTCCATAAAAAGAATATACAAGACACCTTTAAATAAGTTAACGCGAAAACATCTATGGAAAAAAAGACACATCTCTCTTGTCACCGCAGTTCTATTCCAATATTCATAAAGCTGCGATTTTCTGCCTTATAATTTGGCCGGATATGAAACTACCACAAAGTACATTGATAGGCAGAGAATAAGATGAGGCCCGACACCACTTTCTTTGTCTACAATCGCTTATTATAGAGGGATGTAAAACTTTATCTAAACCTAGAAAATAGAATTTATTTCAGGCTTGTTAGCGATCAAATATTACTTTAATTCATTTCACTCAATTTAAGAATGTAAACAAAGTATAAATTTAAAAATAAAAAGTCCAATGCTATTTTGCTATGTTTGCTGCAGGAATGTGAAATCTATTGTACAAATATAGAATGTGTAGCTGTGAATAGCCTAAACAGGCGAATGGAATGACACACGCATATATTAGGTGATTTTGTCAGACACTCCAGTCTATTATACAGCAGCTATTCACATCATCCTTGCAGAATAATAGCCACACCTAATGTATGCATACATTTGCAGGATTCACATACATGCAGGAAAATATATGTTCGGGGGGCGACACAATTTAATGATATAAGGGTGATTTTATATTTGTAAGAAACTTGTCTGATATTTTCACGAAACTTATTTTTAAGTCATATTAGTGTCATCTATTCTAATGTATAAGAAACTAATAATTTAAAGAAAATATTCCACATAGTTGCACCTTCCCAGTGACAATCCAGCCTTAATTGCGTATACTGAAATATTTTTGAAGACACAAAGATCATTTTTGAAGGAACGTCAGTACAACAGATTAAATCTTTAAAAAATAACACATCAGAAAATGATTTCTGTAAAAGATACATATATATGCCAAGAAAGAGTTAATAGATTGCGTTTAATGCGATATTTTGTTACTAGAAAGATCTAAAACTAAATAGCATCTAAAATTAACCAAACATATCAAGCATGTAAACTAAGTTTTATTTAAAAATAGACGTTTTTCTAAACTTTGTGGTGCATCTGTTATTTTACAGAATGGAGAATTTACTTTTCGGCAGTACCATTTCTATGGGGGGTCACGTAGGGGGCTGCTGCATTCCATTTTTGGAGAGTTCCATATCCCAATTCAATGCAATGCTTATTTAGACATTACGATTACTGCACAAGAGATGTACAGTCACAGCCTGTGTTCATTTAGTGATACAGGAAGTGTATTCGGAAAAATAATTGGAAAAATTCAGAATTCTGTTATAAAAAAAAAAAAATGTCCATGTTCCCTAATGCTACAGTCAATATTACAGGTGCAATCTCAATCCACACATATACGTGTCTTGTAAAAATCTCATCCCTTCACCCCATGCTATAGTTAGGGCTATAGCATGGCGCTGACCATGGTACTGGAAAGTCACTACACCATTCCATGCACTTCAAACGTCATCTGCTCCAAAGTTCATTAAAGGGGGTTCAGTGAACCCCCATTAACCATAAACACACAACAACTGTTGTGACACTTGAAAAAGGTAATACAAAAATAAAAAAAAGGGAAACCACCACAAATCTACCAAATAGACCACCCTTAAAACAATAAATATCCCACAAAAATATGAAATTATGAGAGCATTAGTGATCTGAAGAGCAGTTTGAAGGAAACGGCCTTAACCTGAAGGTCTGTGTATAGGATCTCAATACATAACCACAATCCGTGACCCTAGCAAACACAACTAAACAAACCCTGTGTTACTGAACAGGAATTAAATCACTGAGAGTACCAGGACTGCTACCCATAGGCCATACCCACGTATACTGCCAGTGTGGGACGGATTATTTCACTAATATGTGACGTCATGAGTCGTCTTTAATTGGGTCCAGCTATTTTTAGCCAGCCTGTAACAACTATTTTTATTTTTGGCCGCCAGTGCACCAGTAATACTTTTTTTTCCATATCCAGTCCTCCTTTATATCTGCGTGTCCAATTAGTTATAAGAAATGTCAAATGAAAATGAGCAACCTGGGCTTTCTCTTACGTGTAACATAGCTAATTAATCAAATACATCTGGAAAATGCATCTGTCTGCCCACATAGCTACACATACTTTTAGTGTGTGTGTGTGTGTGTGTGTGTGTGTGTGTGTTTGTATTATTTTACCTTTACAATATATCACATAATACGTTTAGAGTACACAATTCATTTTCGTAGCAAATTATCATTATTATATGATGGTTGATATTTATAAGATAAGGGACACAAACACAATGGTATATATGAAATGACCTATTTTTTTGAGTCAAGTTGTCTGCCAAGCATGAAGGCCTAGCCGACCTGCTACATTATACGTGTGTCTGTAGACAGAAGTATATACATATGAGTGATAAAATGAGAATGTGAGAATTGCATCTATCCTGTGTACAAATGGTGTGCATATTATTTGTATATGCAGAGCACAGGGGACATACACAGGAGAATACTGATCATCAACCAGATTCTACAAGCTAGCCTATGTTACATTAAGCCTTATTCTCGCAACTTTCTCCCAGCTGAAAAATCCCCAGGACAAGGCTGCACCCACATGTTATAATTCAGCCTTTTTTTCTAAAGAAAAGCCACCCAGGATATGCCAATACAATGCCAGGCTGTGGGCTTTTTTTTTTGCGCTCGCAGGTGTGAGGCCTTTAACTCATAGCAATTTCTCATCTGGTGCGTAGACAGTTTGGGGAAAGATGGAGCCACCATTGGCCGTAGCCTTGTTAAGCTTCATATGATCACCTGGTCAGAGGGTTACAGAGCAGCTTCCATGTTCCATACATATGTGCCCACACAGATACACAAATCCACTCCTGATCCATCGCCATAATCCTCCTGTGGGTTGCAAACGTGCTCCTTTCCTTGGCAAGTGTGCCCTCCTGACTAGTCCTGTGGCCTATGACTCTAGTGCCATTGTCTCTACGTGATCCTGTGCCCGGGTGTGGAAGGAGCAGGGGAGCGATCCGCCTAAGGTCTGGCAGCAGAGGGATGAATCCCATAACACTTACAAGGCAGCGTGCTTCTCCGGCTCGGCAATGGATGAATGGGAGCCATAAAGAGCCTGGCAGGGCTACAGGGATTTCTTGTTGGAAGCAAAGGAAAGGGCAGGCAAACGTGGCTCCTCTGGGCATGTGCGATCCCTCCTTGTAAGGTGGATTCCCGCTGTCAGTCGCTCCCTATGGCATTGCACCTGGCCGGGTTCCTGGCGTCCTCACTGCTTTTCTAAGGCTCTGCTTCTATTCCAGGAGCTGTCTGTGGCAGCAGGCTGAGTCCGCAGTGACGTCACCGCAACAGCATCTTACACACTCCAACCATTGCAGAGCAGAGGTGGAGGAAGGGGAAGGGGTGGAAGCAGGGGGAGGCAAGGAAAGGGTGGGAAAGTGGAGAAGATGGTTCATTTTATAATTAACACTCAATTAAATGTCTTCAACTCTACAAGGCATCGGTGTTCCCAACAAACACATACATATATATGTTCATAAATCATACAAGTACACTAACATGCATGTATCTGTTTATGAATGAACCTTATCTCTATAGACCAGGCAAATAAACTAAAGCAAAGCCCAGATATTTCTATTTGACTTTTAAGCACATAGCCTTCTCTCATTGTTAAATGTACACCTTTGATTTTCTTCTACAAGCCGGCGTGGATAATTACAAGATCTCAGGAGGCTTAATTGCTAGCATCAAGTGACATACTTCCTCCTAAATTGGCTGTGGGATTTTCTATTGTACACTGATGATTTGGGTGCATATCTTGCATCATTAACACAGCCGTTAAAAATCCAGATTGTTAAGGAAAAAAAATGATGCTCACATCTTCTATATGGAGCACAATTTTATTTTATGACCACCGTGAAAAATCGGGACTGAATAAGAGATCCCAGTGCATGCCAGTAAACAACAACATGACAATAGATAGGTATTGTAGAGCTGGGATCTGCAAATCAAGAATACAGTAAGCATGCCTCTAGAAATACGTCTATGCAGAGGAGAGGGCGATTCCTTCAGTTATCATCGCGCAAATCCTGTTTTAATGTTTTGCAATCCCCTTAAAAGATACGTTTTGTATACAACAGGATTTCATTGTGTGGACAGGCTTCCTTCCCTTGCTAGCCCCAGAAATTCCTTGATCTCTTTTCAGTTTACAAGCCGCTGTCCAAATGCTGAAAATTAACTCAGATTAACAAACCACAAAGACTTAATGCTATCCTGTTAGCTAGGCAATGGCCCTATACATAGCACCTTTGAATTATCCCATTATAGGAACGTCTATAGAATCTCTTCCAGTATTTGATCTGTTGCAGACAGCCAAGGGCTGGCGGGCGGGGAGCCCTGGCAAAGCCATGAGCTTCTCAGGCTCAGGAGCCGGGCA